GATGAAGAACCACATAGTAGTGCAAGAAACTTCTATGATTTGTTAGATGCTGCGAGACAACCTTTATCAATGAATGTTAATGAAGAAACAGAGCTGGCATATACATTGAGGATGATGAATATCAAGATAAATTTTAATATACCGCAGCTAGCAATAGATCGGATATTTCAGTATATTAACCATTTGGTGGGTCCCGATAATCGAGTACTTACCAGGTATTATGATGAAAAAAAGTTACTTACAAAGCTTGGTCTTGGACATGAGAAGATTGATTGTTGTGTAAACAGTTGTATGTTGTACTATAAGTCTGAAATAAATGACAAGCACTGTAAGTTTTGTGGTGAGACAAGATTTAAACCTTGCCCATCTGAATCTACTCGTGCAAAAGAGGTGCCTTACAAAAGAATGCATTACCTTCCTCTCATTCCTCGATTGCAACGTCTGTATGCATCATATAGCTTTGCTTCACAAATGTGATGGCATTATGAAAATCGTCGTGAACCTGGTATTATGTGTCATCCCTCTGATGGTGAAGCATAGAAGCACTTTGATAGAAGGTTCCCTGATTTCTCAGCAGATCCTCGAAATGTAAGACTGGGCTTATGTTCCGATGGATTTTCTCCATTTGGTTTCAATGCAAAGCCGTACTCTTGTTGGCCTGTTATGGTTGTTCCGTAAAATCTCCCATCTTCAATGTGTATGACTACACCATACACATTCTTAACGTGTATTACTCCTGGACCGAAGAACCCAAAGGCTAATATTGATGTCTATCTCCAGCCTTTAATTGATGAACTTCAATTGTTATGAGAAACAGGTGTCTTAACTTATGATGCATCACTTAAACAAAATTTTATGATGCGTGCTGCGTTAATGTGGACCATCAATGACTTTCCTGCATACGGTATGTTATCTTGATGGCAGACAACCGGGAAACTAGCATGTCTTTATTGTCTTCATTATTCTAAATCATTTTATTTGAAGAATGGTCATAAAACATGTTGGTTTGATTGTCACTGTCAATTCCTTCCAATGAATCACTCCTGGTGAAAGAATCGAGATACCTTCGTCAAACAACGAGCTGAGAAATCAAGACCTCAACCAATTTGGACATGAGATGAGTTGTTTCATAGTTTGAAAAGTATCCCAAGGATTATTGATGGTCCAATTGGTCGCGTTGAGGGGTTTGGACAAGCACACGATTGGAAAAAAAAGAGAGCATATTTTGGGATTTGCCGTATTGGAAGGATAATTTGTTACGTCACAATCTTGATGTGATGCATATAGAGAAAAATGTGTTTGATGACATTTTCCACACAGTTATGGATGTCAAAGGCACAGCTAAAAATAAAGGCACGCCTAATGCACGTCTCGATATGAAGCACGTGTGTAATAGGCCCGAACTTGAGTTGGTGGAAAAGAATGGACGTTATCTTATGCCCAAGGCAAGCTACAGTTTGAATCGTACTAATCAATTAGCTATCTATGAGTGGCTACGAACTTTGAAGTTACCTGATGGGTTTTCTTCTAATTTGTCTACATGTGTTTGATTCCATATCTTCTAAATTAATAGGGATGAAAGGTCATGATTGTCATATTTTTATGCAGTTTCTTATGCCTGTAGCCTTCATGTTTTTACCAAGCTGTCACTGGAAGCCTTTGACTGAGTTAAGTGCGTTTTTCGGAAATCTTTGCTCTACATCCCTACGTGTAGACAAAATTCAGGAAATGGAAAACTCAATTGTTTTAACATTGTGTAAGTTAGAATGGTTTTTCCCTCCATCACTGTTTGATTGCATGGAACACTTGCCTGTTCATCTTCCCTATGAAGCACGTTTAGGTGGCCCAGTACAATATCGTTGGATCTATTCATTTGAACGCTTCCTCAATCACTTGAAGTCCAAAATGAAAAATAAGAGATATGTTGAAGGTTCAATTGCTGATGCATATATGCTTGAAGAGGCAACACACTTTGCATCATTTTATTTTGAAGATGATGTGCAGAGTAGAAGAACAAGGATAGGTCAGAACCTAAATGATGGCGGCATTGATCAGAACTTGCTAGTTACGTTGTCAATATTCAATCGTCCTGGTCGGTCGATGGGCAGGAGAAAGACAAGATATTTGAGTGTAGAAGAACGTTTTACCGCTCATCAATATGTGTTACTGAATTGTTAGGAGGTTCAACCGATTTTAAGGTATGTGTGCTCCACTTTTTCCCATTGAAAATGGTTGTATGAAAATGGTTTACGACATTACAATCCTGGTTGTACTGATGAAGATGTAAACAATGAAGTTGAAAGAAATTTTGCACATTGGTTTAAAGAATATGTAAGAAGTTAATGCACTTTGTCATTTTTGATTCATTATTATCTATATTTTTTGTTATATGACATTTGCTTTGTATTTATTATTAGGTATATTGCCCAACGAACAATGTGTGTAACCAATCACTCATTGATTTGGCATCTGGGCCGATAATGGAGGTTAACACATACACTTCTAACTACGGAGTGTCAATCAAGGGAACAAGTTTAACACAATTTGAATCAAATTTTTTTGGCAAATTGCAAGAGGTTGTTGAGGTTGAGTACCCCAATGTTCCAATAAAAAAGGTTGTTCTCTTCAAGTGTGAGTGGTTTGACCCAACACCCAATATTGGGTCAATATTCAATTCTGAATATGGTATCGCTGAGGTGCATTGCAATAAACGATATAGGAAGTATGATCCTTTTATCATTGCACAAAGCGCATGTCTGGTGTGTTATATTCCATACCCACGAGGTATACGGGAGAAAATGAATTGATGGGTAGTCTTGAATGTACGCCCAAGAGGAACTATTGACACTGCCTATAGCTCTAGTTACACATATCAACATGATAACATACCGTTGCCTACATATGGGGGTGATCAAAGTATTCAAGATGCCGTGCAAGAGTTAGTGCACGAACCATTACAAATGAATGAAGTGGAATTACCTCACATCGGAAATCAATGGTCCGACCAAGGTGTCCAAATTGAAGATTAAGAAAAGAAGATACTGAAGAAATTGAAAAAGATGACAATGATGATTCTGTAGAAGATGATATTGGAGATATTGGTGATGAAGATGATAATGAGGAATCAAAGAATGATGAGGGTGATTTTTAATTTAGAGTTGAAATTTAAATGATTTTAATGTTTATTTTAATTTTAATTAGTGTTTAAGAAAAATTTAATTAATGCTAAAAAACTAAAGAATTAGACCGAAAACATAAAAATAAAAAAAAAAAAATGGCGCAAATCTGAAAATTTGGTCCCAAAATTTCACTAAGTTCTCTCTCCCTCCACTACTTGATTTCCCTCTCCCTCCACTACTTCACTTCTCCATCCTTCTCTCTCCCACTTCACATATCTTTCACAGCGTATTTCCTCCTTCACGGCCTACTTCTTCCTTCACGCCTCCAGCACCGGCAGTGGCACAACAATGGCAATCCCTAATCTCGTATTCTGAAACCCCATGTACTTTCTAATCTTTCAATGTTTGAGTAACCCAGTCCCTAATCGAATTTAGTTTTTTTTTAATGGATTCTGAAATATTCTATTTCTTGTTCGAATTTAGGTCCTCATGTTCTTGGTGTTGTTGCTGCTTATCAAGCTTCCATTGTACCATCCCTAAATGACTTGTCATGTGTCTTCACTCCTAGGGAAAACAATGCAGTAGACTCAGCAGGATTAACTTCATGGAAAAAAAGCTGTGAGCATTCAAATCTAACACTTTAAAATTGAAATTTCTGGATGAAATTGTTTGTATTGAAGGTTAATGGAAGAAACTATGTGAAACCAGAACTCAAAAGATCATTATGAGTTCTGGTTTTTGAAATTTCTATTCTAAATTTTTGAATATAGATTATGTTTCTTAATTTCTGGTTTTTAAATTTCTGGTTTGTGCTTTGTTGTATAATTCATAGGGACTGAGAATGTATTATAAGGTATCTATCCCAATTGAAAATATTAAGAGAGCAAATGAAAGTGCAAATTTGAAGAATCCATCAATGTTCATCACCCATGCAATAGCTAAAGCCTAAATCATATTTATGTGTAACCAACCCAATGATGGGCTGCTACCCTGGGCAGTCTCTGAGGGTTTACAGTGTGTTTGGGGACTGGCAGCAGAGATGAGGCTTTGAGCTGATATGCTGTGCAGATGTTGTTGGCAGATCTGCACTTTGGTGTAGCGATGAAGCCTTTCTTTGCAATTGTTGTGGAATGGAGCTGAAGTGGATTGCAGGCTAGATGCTCATCTACAGTCTCAGAAAAGCTGCAGATTTGCAGAGAATCTGAGAGGTTGCAGAGCAGATTTTGAGGCATTTTCAATTAGGAAGCTGATGTTTTGAAGTATTTTGAAGCTAATTCTCGGTTGATCTGCATTCTGTGAATTGCAAAAGTGTTTTGTGCTTTTAGAAGCTAATCTACACTATTGCTTAGTGTAGAGATGAAGCTCTTTTGTTGATTAGCTTTTGTTTTGATGCTCCTAGCTCTTTTAGTTGTGCTTGGTTTTGGCTTGGAGGGTTCTAATCAAAGGGGGCTATTCTTGCTGATCCTAGCCTTGATTCTCAATTTGGCTTGTGTTAGATTGGTGGAATCATGGTGAGCTCCAAGTATAGCATACACTTCGAGTTGGGAGTGTCTAGAACTTGAGAGATCCTTTAGGAATTGGAAAAAAGATGAAAGAAAAAAAGTGTAACCAAATAGAGTAGAGATATAAATGCATGTTATTTAAGTTTTCTCTGCATGATATATATCATTGCATGTACAAACACAAAACTTAGAAATGGTATGTGAAACCAGAACTCAAAGGATCATTTTGAGTTCTATTATGTGAAACCAGCACTCAAAATATCATTTTGAGTTTTGGTTTGTGAAACTAGAACTCAAAAAATCATTTTGAGTTCTGGTTTCAAAAACCAGAACTCAAAATGATCATTTACAAACACAAAACTTAGAAATGGTATTTTACACCACTAACTTTCTTTTGATTTTAAGCAGAAAATGTCTCAACGTGCAAGGCAAAATAATACAACGTTGATGTCCCAACCACCAATATCTAACTCTGAAAGAAATCAACTACCAAGTCCACCATCAAATAATTTCCCACAGTCCAGCCGAAATAGTGATTCAGAGCGAACTATATCCGCCTCACCAAATGATGTTCCATCACCTCCAACTTCACCAAGCAACATGCCCATAGTACGCCCCATTGGGAACAATTTGTAAGTCTTATATTGATAACTATAATAACTATAATGTGTTAACATTTATCTCTAACATTTATAATTTTTTACAGGTTTGAACCATGGCGTGCAAATAAAGTTATCGATTACGTAACTAAAATATTTCCAGATGCTATAAAATCATACAACGATGCTCCTATACATATGAAGGACGTATGGTTTAATGAATTCAGGGTAACTTATTTTATAACTGCTATTAGTAAATTACTTTATAACTACCATAGGGAACTACTAATATATACATTTAATAATTTATACCTTTACAAATTACTTTATACCTACTTTATGCTCCAGATGCTATAACTATTACTTTATACATTTACTAATTACAATTTGATTTTTTTTAATCTTATCAAAGAAAAAGTATAAGTGGAATCCAGAAGATGAGGCAGTAATTCAGAATATATTCCACAAAAAGGCTGCTAGAAGATTATCTGACACGTTGGGGAAGGTTCGCATCAATTTGGCAAGAGACCATGCAACACCAAATTGGATGAATGATCAGGTTTTGGCCCAATACCGCAGCATTTGGAATACGGAGGAGTTTAAGAAGACTGCTGCGAAGAACAAAAGAAATAGAAATTCAGATTGCGGGGGATTGGGACCATCACTGCACACTGCAGGTTCAATCTCTATTTCTGAGCATAGGAAAAGATTAGTAAGTCATTTACTACTATTTAAATATAATTTATAGTTAAAGAACAACATTAATATTTGGTTTATTGTTCTTGGATAGAAAGAAAATTAAAGCTTGGAGAAGAGCCCTCACATGTTGTGTTGTTCCAAGCAACTCACAAACGCAAAAAGACAAATGAGTTTGTTTGCAAAAAGGCTAATCATGTAAATAATGTAAGATACTAAAACTTTTCCTAGAATTAAAAGTGTAGGCCTAGTAAAGCAGTTTTACTTGTTTTAAAAAGTATACTCCATAATATACTTGTGCCAACATCCAAATATAGTAGTAAGAATACCCCTATCCTGATATTTAGAATGCAGATTATATTACAGCAGAAACTATATGGACTTGAGAACTAATTAAAAGTATGCTTAGTTTAGACATGTTAGGGGATTAATTACAATGAAAATATATACGAATGACTAGTTATGAAAGTATGGAATCTTGCTACTAATTATGTGTTATGTTTTTTGTTAAATTATGTGAATGTTAATGTGGTTATTTGATTGGTTTGTCATTACATGAACTGAAATGTGCTTTGATATGTTTCCTGTGTTAATTGCTTGGATTGGCCTGATGGTGTCCACCATTGCTTTTCTAGTCTTACTTGTCAGTTTGAATCTAGATCACCTACAACTTGAAATCCTTGCAATTTTTTATTTAATTTTTGTGTTTTGGTTTTTAATCTAACTATGATATATTATAAGAATAAAATGAAGCCAAATATACCTGAAGAGAGTTGTATGGTGAAGGTGCATCTGAGCCATACAAGTCCCATTGCCCGGTGGTGTTGCCCAAATCCTCCAAGTCAAAGTAAACACTCTTGTCACCATACTTAGCCGCAATAGCACCAGCCCTATACACACAATGCACACATTCAGTTCTAGATCACTAAGTGGAAGTTTGGCTGTACAAATTAAAGATGAAATCAATTTAAACTTAAGCCTATCTGTTATTAGACTGTGTCATCTTCCAATTTTACAGTCCATAAACCGCCATATTTGGGGCTTACTAAACCAACTTAAACTAGATTGCTTGTCAAAAAAAACTTGTGATCTACATGTTGACTTCATGATGAAAATGATCTCTTTATCCTGTTAGGGCAGAAAATGTTTGACATTGATCTCTTATAAGATTCTCTATATGTATAAGCCTTGATACATCTAACTCTTGCTTCCTTTGTAAACTTGTTTCATTCCTTTATGTGGGAGAAGTCTCGCTGCATACTAGCTAAAACCTTTACTGTGTGCAAACCTTTACTGTATTGAATCTTTTTATTTATAATGAAGAAAAGATATTGAGTTACTGCCTTCTACTACTTCAAGAGTCTTACTACTATGAAGTCTTACTACCTTGAGAGTCTTATTGAGTCTTGCTACACTGTATTGGTAATTGTTTGAGGAATTTCTAGGAAAATGATTGTTATAACATTTATTAGATTTTGAGATGATAAAATGATTGTGTTTGGTAAAAATTGTTAAATATAGGAGGCTGCAATTCAAAAACAACAAACTCAACCTGAGCTTGGAGAGTCAAATGCATGGTTCGTGGCAGCCGGTGGCCTCAAGAAAAGAGGATCTGTTTATGGATTTGGATCAGATACACCGCGCTACCTCGCTGAGGCTGTGACGCAAAAGAATTCTAAATTCGGACAATCATGGGCACATGCAGTTTATGAGGATCAAGTTAAGGAACTAAAAGAAGAGAACAAGAAAATGAAGGAAAAATTGGCATGGTTAGAAGTGGAATTTGTTGCAATTCATGGTGCAAATCAGCCTTGTTTTCAGTATACTAATCCAGCCATTAGCCATGAAAGTAGTGGTGTTGGGTTAGATGATCTTGAGCAATAGATCCAAGATTCTAACTTTTTTTTGGTGATGGGTTAGATGATCTTGAGCAATAGATCCAAGATTCTAACTTTTTTTGTGATGGGTTAGATGATCTTGAGCAATAGATCCAAGATTCTAACTTTTTTGTGATTTAGGAAATATTTTGATTGTATTAGCATTTTTAATGATGGTGGATATTAGAATTGCAACATTATGTATAATTAAATTTGCTATTGAAATGTATAATATTTGTGTTATGAAATTGCTAGTTTTAAAATTGGTAAAGCAGTGTATAATTTGTAGGAAAAGTAGCAATAGAAACTATAAATTACAAAAGAAAAAAAATATTTATTTATTAATTTCTGACCACCAGGGGTCGGAAATCTAGAACAAATGAATTCTTGGATCCAGATTTCCGACCGCCCGATCGTCGGGCTTTCCGACCAAATGGTGGTCGGTAATATGGATCCGTCTAAGTATCAAACTCGTCGTTTGTTTCCGACGATTATAAAAATGTGCTCACTGTTTCCGAACTGTCTTTGGTGGTCGGAATTAGTGACGGGCGTTTTTCTCGATCCCCATTTTGGTAAGAAAAGTGGTCGGAAACATGGTTTCTGACCCGATTTAGGCTGTTTTCGACCACTTTTGGTTGGCCGGAAATCTGTTGATTTCCAGCCGTGATTAATTCATCCATAGCATGTATTCAATTGGCCAAGGTTAAACACAATGACAATTTTAATCTACCATTCAACAACATCAAAGAGAATAAACCAACATCCAATTTAACGATTAAAAAAACTAGGCTACATAGTTAAATGTTCAACACAAACCTATTCAATCTAGATCTATTTACATTGATCCATATAATGATTATACTAAGCCAAACCTATTACCCACTACCTAGTACTATCAACACTAAAACGAAGGATTCACTTTCAAACTAAATTTGTTTGAGCAAAGGGGTTCAGTCTTGGCTTCACTCAAGTCTTTGAGCCTTGTGTATATCTTTTCCAATACATTGCTACACACCTGGGGTGAGGTGCAAGGCCCACACATAACATATATCACATTGCCTAGAGGCCTCATGTAAATCCCATCACCTCGGATCTTATGAATAAGTTTTGCAACATAGAGTGACGCGTACCTGCATTTTATTCGCCAAGTTCTCGGGAGTTTAAGGAAGATGTTGAAACATTGCAGATTATGTACGAACGAACAAATAAAAACTCTACTTTCATTGGTTCAAAAGCATTCAGTCAACCAGAACAAAATCATTGTACAGATTCGAGGATGCGAAACATGAAAGAATAATAAAACCACATACCCGGCATTGGAGCCTTCAGCTTGGAGTTCCATTGCACAAAAAGTTCCCAACACAACCTGTAACAACCCAAAATTTTATTTCATAAATCCGGTATTAAGAAATTCCAAAATAGCCATTTTCACTCCATTCAAAAATTTTGCGATCAATTGGTGTTCAAATAAATTATTTTAGTCACATTTTAAATTAATTCGACACCAAGACTTATTTTATTCGAAATTCCTAAATTTTCAGGTACTTCGCGTAACATGATTTAAATCGAGAAATTTATCTGAGTGAGACCGGGAGAATTCAAAAAGATTTAAAACAAGGGTTCCTCTAAATAGATTTTGAGAAAATTCATTTTCAACCCCAAAGTATTTAAAGTTAGCATTTCTAGCTCATGGTTCATGAACCATCCAAAGCCTTTCCTGATTAATCTTTTAGCCAAAGAAATTACTCTTTTGCCCTCAACCAATTATTGGCAATTATCCTAGGGTTTTGGACCCTATAAAATATCTCTTTAGCTACATTGTCTTCTCCTAATTTCTTCTTTGCCTTCCCAAATTCTTGTCAGCCAAGTAGAAGAAGAACAACACAGTAAGCTTTTCATCCCATCCCTTCACCTCTTATCCTTAAGGTTTCCATCCTAGCTTTCAATCTCTGAGTTGGTTAGGATTGGCTTGTGTTGTTGTTGAGGTGTCTAGGTGGTGAAGGAGGCTCAAGCTAGATAGAGAGGAAGAAGAGATCTAAGCTAAGAAGAAGAACTACAAGAGGTATAACCCCATGGACTCCCTTTTAAAATATGCTTCTGTGAAGCCTTTATGTTGAGTAGAAATGAGTAGAAACTATGAGTTTTTGATGTGTTTATGCTAAGAAGTGATTTAGTATTTGTTTGTGTGTTATTGAGATTGTTTTGGACTTGTTTGGATTGGATTTTGCAGATGAAAAACCTTCTGGTGCACAACACAGTGTGCACCAGATCAGAGTAACGACCCTAGTCGCGACCCATCAGGAGGGCCGCCGGCTAGAGCCGTGCTTGTACGGGACTAGGGCACGACCCTAGAGGAGGGATGCTGCCTAGTCCGGTGAAGTGACAGGGTATAAGGGGCGGACCATGAGGAGTCTCGCCCCAGGTCCCTGACTTTGATTCTGAGATGAATCTGTGCAGTGGGTGGACCCTTGTGGCTCAGCTCTTCGGGACCGTCTCGACGCACGTTTTGGCTTTGATTTCGTTGAATTTTGATCTAAAATGAGTATGTTATGAAGGAAATTGTGAAGAAATACTACACAGAGTATATATTTTGCTATGCACTGTATATGATAAATTGTTGTCTTTGTGATCTGATTGAGGTTTTTATTATGTAAAGAAACATGATCATTTGAGAATATGATTTATTATGAAAGCATGATTACATTGAGTTATTTGATCAATGAGAATAGAAGTATAATTGTTGAAGTGAAATGTATAGAATTTGCTTTGTCGCCAACTGAGCAC